CCCCAAAACCCCAAAACCCCAAAACCCCAAAACCCCAAAAGTCTTTCAATGATTAACAATATTGAGACATAATATGTATCTAATTCTTAATATTTAGAATTATTTTTCTGAATTCTTTTGCTCTTCTTCAAAAGGGAGATATTAGCTGAAGACTTCTGCCTTTTACCAAAGCTCATACTATACAGAAGTTTAGCCGTATCCTTAGGGGTGTGATTCTGATAATGCTTAAAATCTTGTAGTCACATATCAAAAGACTTTCTAAAAACCTTTCGGTGTGTTCTTTTCAGACAATTTTCATCCTTCTGATTCCCGTTCCCAATATTAGTAAGTGCATATCTTTTTGAATTCTTAGATTTGGATGATTTTGAGCGAGGTTTGAGCAATCTTTGATGCCTTATAGGCAGCTCAGGACTCTTTGTTACTCCAAAGAACTTAGGCACCAGCATTTTCCTCTTGTTATAACGTTTGGTTTTGGGTGAAAAAGTGAGGTCCTTGGGCTTTCATAATAATTTATGGTTGCTAATGGAAGCATCTTTTGATTTCTTCCTGTCCTTCCTAAAATTTATTTTGATAATTTACAAAATCTCGAAATTTTTCCGTCTCTGTGCATTTAGCTGATCAAGTGAAGGATTAAGAGCATAACTAGAGTTTTTACTACCTAAAGCTATGAAATACTAAGCCTTACTCCCAAAATGGTCATACTTCGAATCTTCCTGATAACTTAAGGTGTTAGACCGAATGTTATTTCCTCGAATTCGAAGCTGAATGGTGTAGATTTGGAGACAAAGAGTTTTTGAGTGTATTCTCTTGGCTCTCTAGAAACCCCTTGTTATTATTGGTATTATCCTCAGTTCTCATTTGGGAATAAGAATTATCAAGCATGTTCTCTCCGTTGAGGATTAGATCATCATTATTACACATCTATACTTCAGAGTGGAGACATACTTTCTTGATCTTGATATTATCACTGAATTTATGAACGGTCTTGTTATGCTTCCGGTTAATTTCCCTTCTCTGAGCATACCTTGAGTTCATAAGCAGCTTCAAGTTAATATCAATATTTTTCCCCGAGATTTGGATCGGATTACTTTTTAGCCAAACAGAGCTTCTTCACTTATTTCGATTTAGCCTTCTTCCTCTTTTTCCATGTCATTTTTCCTTCACTCATGAGCTTGTACTGACTCTGAAGGAGATTGATGGGGGAGCAGAGGTGGCTGGGTTTTCGCGTAGCGTACATTGGCTTGTGATGGCTCCTACTGCCATCAAGATAATTCAAAGAGGATTTAAGACTAGCTTCTTCTTTTGCAGAGTCAGCAAAATATGATTTATATTTTGAATTATTCTTCTTCCCTTGATCTTTAAAAGCAGCTTCTTTCTTAAATTTTTTCTGGTGCTTCATCCTTTGCTTGCTGTAGTGCTTTTGAGAAAGCTGAAGAAGACTTCTTTTAAACTCTTTATTCTAGTAAAATAAATTAGGCATTCAGAAATTCTATCAGACTTACTCGAATAGCCTTGAAGCTTTCGACCTATAAACGAATTTACACCCAAAAATTATCGTTTTTAAAATCGGAGGTTGCAGAGACCGCAGCCTGATGGTCGAGGACTTACTTTATCGCTCTTTTTCTGTAAGCGTATGCTCATTTTAATACTTCTAATAAAATTTTAAATTTGGGGTTTTGGGGTTTTGGGGTTTTGGGGTTTTGGGG